TGCCACCCCAGGCTCCAGCCGTCCTGGCCTTGGACGTGCTGGTGACGAGGCCTCGGGGACAGTCGGCCCAGCTGCCATCCGAGGCCCATGCCCAGCGACTCTGAGTGACAGCTGCCCCGTGGAGCCCCGAGGAGCCCCGAGGATAGTAAAACGCCCTTTCATGCCACTGGGTTTCGAGGTGCTTTGTGAGGCCCTTGCTAAACCGAACCCACCCAACCCCAGGTCTCCTCCTGGCTCTCAGCCATCAACACGGAGCCTCCTCTTCCCGGGCTGCTGCCTCCTGGCTCCCCAGCTCCCTCCCCGCCCCCACCAGCCGCTCAGCCTGCCCACCTGGTGCCCACTTCCTCAAACTCTCTGGCCCTGCTCTCGTGGCTGAAGCACTCATGACCCTGATAGGACGAGGCTTGCCCTCCTCCAGGGCCTGCCCCCACCCCAACACCTGGCTTCACCCCCCTTCAGTCTCCACCTCTCTCCTCCTTCCCATCTCCCCTTCCCCACTCCTTAAAATAGCCTCCATGCCCTGCCAGCCTGGCTCAATGGTTGAGCATCGACCTAGGAATCAGGAGGTCATGGTTTGATTCCCGGTCAGGGCACATGCCTGGGTTGCAGGCTCGATCCCCCGTAGGGTGCGTGTGGGATTCTTTCTCTCATCGTTGATGTTTCTCTCCCTCTCCCTTCCTCTCTGAAATCAATAACAATATATTTTCTTAAAAACTACCCTCCGTCACCCAGGCCTTCCCTCCGGGCAACCCCACCGCACCCCTAACGGCACCCACCACTCTCTCTGTGACCTATCTGGTGATGGGTCCACTTCCCAAAGTAGACTTGGAGGTGACAAGAGGGTCAAGCCTGTTTCCCTGCACGGCCTGGCACAGTGCCTGGCGCACAGCCAATAACTAATAAGTCCGTAGATGTTTATTATGAACACACTGTGCAGAAATAGACAAGAGAACAATGTTCCAAGAGCACAAGCACGCCGTCTGCCCAGAGCTTGGCCCCGGCCCCCACCCTGTCAGCCGCCGGGCAGGCCACGGGATCCTGGTGGGGAGAGGCCACACGATTCACAGGGGGCAGGTTTGGCTTCTCAGGCTGGTCCTGTGCTGGAAATGGGGCAGAACCAGGGAGGCTTCGGTCACTGGCCAGCACTGGCCTTCCGGCCATTGATGTGGTTGGCTCCCGGGGATTTGTGTGGGCCGGAGGTCTCCTGTCCAGGGGACCGGACACTGCCCCCGGTCTCTTGGGCGGATGATGAAAGACGCCCTCTCGGTTGGAAGGCGGGGGCGGGACACAGGAAGGAGGGTTGAGAGGTGACCCAGTGATTCAGCCACAGCTCGGCCCTGGGTGACTCCACCGTCCGACCTGGCTGGTCCCTCTTCTCCGCAGTCGAGCAGGTGGACGGAGACAAAAGGTAGGGCTGCTGTTGCTGGGGCAAGTGTGAGCTCCTGGGGGCAGTTCTTCTGCAGGGGATAGCCGAGCTCACGCCTGCACCGCACGGTCTGTTTCTCTGTGTCAGAATGCCAGCACTGAGGGCCTGGCCAGGGGTGCCCCTCAACAGCGACCTGAGGCTGAGACAGCCCCCCTGTGCCCCAATGGGAGGGGTAGCAGTGCGCCCTGACCGGTGTGCTCAGTGGTTAGGGTGTCAGCCCACATACCAAAGGGTCTCAGGTTCGATTCCCAGTCAAGGGCATGCACCTGGGTTATAGGTTCCAACCCCATCGATCCCTGACCCTCTCGGGGCATGTGTGGGAGGCAACCAATCCATATGTCTCTCTCACATTGATCTCTCTCTCGCTCTCTCTCTCTCTCTCCCCCGCTTTCTTCCTCCCTTCCACTCTCTCTATAAAAAAAAACACACCAGCCCAGCTGGTGCGGCTCAGTGGTTGCACGTGCACCTATGAACCAGGAGGTCACGTTACGATTCCGGGCAGGGCACAGGCCCAGGTTGTGGGCTTGATCCCCAGTAGGGGGCGTGCAGGAGGCAGCCGATCAATGATTCTCTCTCTTAATGTTTCTCTCTATCCCTCTCCCAGCTTTAACATTTTTAAAAAATATTAAATTTTTTTTAATCAATGGAAAAAAAATCCTCCGGTGAAGATTAACAAAACAAACAAAAGCAAAACGGTGGTCGCTGTGGTTCAGAGATCTGTACTGTCCAAGTCGGCGTCTTAGCTCTCACTTGGCAGGTTGGGAGGCTGTGGCTCACACCTAATATTGGGCAGTAAAAGCTGGAAAGAGGTCTGACCTGAGAGATTTGTGAACAAACAGAAAAGAGGCTCCATTCATGGAAGAATGTTTCCAACCAACCAGGGGCTGTGCATGGGTGGGGCCCCGGGAGGGGCACTTGTGACGTCTTTCTTATTGTGGAAAACATTTACCATCTTAACCACTTTTCAAAAAATATGTGTCTTTATTGATTTCAGAGAGGAAGGGAGAGGGAGGGAGAGAGAGAAACATCCATGATGAGAGAGAATCATGATCAGCTGCCTCCTGCACACCCCACACTGGGCATCAAGCCCACAACCCAGGCCTGTGCCCTGAACCTGGAATCAAACTGTGACCTCCTGGTTCATAGGTCAATGCTCAACCACTGAGCCACACAGGCCGGGCAACAACATGCTCTTGTTTAAATGAACCAAGGGCTCGGTGGTCCCTGGGGAAAGGGCTGTTAAAAACCTATTTCCATTTGGCAATAAAAAGAAATTTGCAACAGTGGAGGGACTCTCCATGCACACGGCTGCTCAGTGACGGGAGTCCATCCGAAAAGGCCACGACCTGCGGTTCCGACTCCAGGCAGAGCGATGGGGACGGAAGAAAGACCCGTGTTTGCCGGACGGACAGCGGAGACAGAGGACGTTCAGGGCAGTGGGGCTAGTCTGTGTGACACTGAGATGACGACCGCGTCCTATGTTTGTCCAAACCCACAGACGGTACAACACAGAGGGACCCCAATGTCCACTATGGGCTTGGGGTGATAGCAGTGAGTCGATACCAGTCGGTCGATTGTAACAAGCAGACCATACCAACGCCAGATGTTAACAGCAAGGGAAACTGAGGCAGAAGGCCAGCAGAAGGAACCCCTCTGGACTTTGTGCACAATTTTTCTGTAAACCTAAAGCTGCTCTAGAAAAATAATGTCTATTAATTAAAAAGAAAACATTTTGTAAGAGAACGATGGGGAGGAAGCGGGTGCCTGCACAGGGTGCCTGGGGGACGCTCCTCAGACACGACATTGACAGGCCGCCGCCCGATGGCGCTCGCCGGGTGCCTGCTGCTGCCGCTGCTGCTGCTCTGGGCGCGGCCAGGGTCCTCGGTGACGGTAGAGCCTGACCACCTGGTTCTGTCCCATAAGGTAAGTCCACGCCCCCGAGTCCCTGCACAGGCCAGGTCTCCGCCCTCGGTCTGCTCTTGGGCTCTCGGGGCCCCTGGCCTTTTTCCAGAGGGTGCCCGGCCCCAGTGCCCTGTGCCTGCTTCCTCGATGCCCCACGACCCCGCGACCCTCTGGAAGGTCAGTTCCTCCTCAGTCCTCCTGCTTCTCACCCCAAAGCTGGCGGCTGGTCTCGTCTGGGAGCCGCGGTCCCGGCTTTAACTCTTAGCCAGTAGATTTCTTCTTTTTCTTTTTAAAAATATTTTTATTGATTTCAGAGAAAGGAAGCAAGAGGGAGGGAGAGAAGCATCAATGATGAGAATGAGTCACTCACCGGCTCCCCCTGCACGCCCCCCACTGGGGGTCGAGCCCACAGCCGGGCCTGTGCCCCAACGGGAATGGAACCGTAACCTCCTGGTTCCTAGGTCGGCGCTCAGCCCTGCGGCTCGGCCTCTCACGAGCTTTCCCGGCTTCGTGCCTCAGTTTACCCTCTGTCCACTGGGCTCAGGATAGACACAGACAACGGTTGCCCCCTTCTCCCTGTGTCCCCGGCCCCAGGCCAGCCCCCCTCCCTGCTCTGTGAATGTTCCAGAAACCCCGCCAGGTTCGATAAGTCCGAAGGCCGGTGGGACCCAGGCGGGACCCGGGCGGGACCAAGGGAAGTGGAGAACAGGGGGGGCTCTTTTGGGGTCTGCAACGCCCTGGGCCCCGCAGGGGATCGGGGACACCTGTGAAGAAAACGTGGAATGCCAGACCGATTGCTGTGTCACCAACAGCCTGAACCCCCAGAAGTTCTGCACGTCCCAGACCATCTTCCTGCAGTGCCTGTCCTGGCGGAAGGTGCGAGGGCTGGGGGGGGGGAGGGGGTTTGAGGGAGGTACCGCCTTTTGGGGGGTCTCGGTGGCCGGAAGGCCTGGCCGTTCGTCCTGCAGCCCAACGGCTACTCGTGCACCGACAAGAAGGAGTGTAAGAGCAACTGCTGCGTCACCAACAACTACAACCCCTCCAAGTTCTGCACACCCCGCACCATCTTCTCCCAGTGCGTGCAGTGGCTCAAGGTGAGGGCGGGGCGGGGCGGGGCGGGGCTCACCTGCCCGCTTTCTCCGAGGGCGGAGGTCTAGGGGCCTCTGTCTCGCAGCCCAACCACGACCACTGCATGCACCACAAGGAGTGCCGCAGCCTGTGCTGCATCCGCCTGACCGAGGCCAGCTCCCCGCGCTGCGTGCCTCGCAACGGGCTCCTGGCGCACTGCCTGCCCCCGGTGAGTGCCAGTGGGTGGGCGGGGGCTGGACGGGGTGTTGGAAGGACGTGGTCCTGGGCAGAGGAAGGTTCCAGGTCCATCTGGGGCCCAGTGGGAACAGTGCTGAGGCTCTGGTGAAGCACGGGGCCTGGGACCGGGAGCACCTGGGGACAGTGGACAGGGCCTGCCACCACCCTGGGCTGGAGGCTGAGCGGACCCTCCCCAGGAGCCTTCCACTGGCAGAACCTCACGTGGGGGCGGGGGGATGTGAGGGGGGATGCAGACGGGCACAGGGGCGAGATGGGCTGTGGGGACGAGACAGCACTGATGGGACATGTGCTGCTGGAAGGATCTACTACACATCTGCCTGATTATAAAGGGGTGGCTGACCCCCGTGTTCCGCACCCACATCCCGATGTGGTATCACCAGCGCCCAGGCCCCACGTGTCCACAGAAATGTGCCCAATTGTGGCCGAATGAGCCATATGGTCCAAACGGTGCCCTTGTCCCAGACGAGCCAAGCCCCTCGGCAAAGGGGGCGTGACGTCGGTGCTCGACACCGTGCTCTGACTCTTGCTGTGTCCTGCAGTGACGCGCACAGGATCTGTGTGTGGTGGCCCGGACTCGCCGACTGCCCCTCAGCAGGAGCCCCCCGGCCACGTGACCGCCTTCTGGGGCCTGCAGCTCAGTGACTCCACCAATAAACCACTGACGCAGCCCAAGTGGGTGTTGTCATGTCTGTGTTCTTCGGACAATAAAGGCAAAAAAGAGCCGTAGAAAACGTGGAGACGATGACAAAGCAGGGTCTGGCCAGATCTGGTGCCACAGTGACCCCCAAGCAGCCGAAGTTGTGTGAACCAGAGACCAGCTGTGACCTGGCAGAGAAAGGCCACACGTCCCACATACACTTCCCCTCCCCTCGCGTTCCATAATAGAGACGCTTGAGTGTCTCTTGTCTTTGCAAGTAAAAATAATCAGTTGAACCCGGGCTGGTGTGACTCAGGGGTTGAGCACCAACTTATGAACCAGGAGGTTACAGTTCAATTCCAGGCCAGGGCACATGCCCAGGTTGGGGGTTCGATCCCCAGTGTAGGGCGTGCAGGAGGCAGCCGATACATGATTCTCTCTCATCATTGATGTTTCTCTCTCTCCCTCTCCCTTTACATAATCAATGAAGATATATTTAAAAATAAGTCAGTTATCCCAAACTGAAAAGACTGTAAACAGTGCTGACGGTACAGGAAACACAGGAAATCAGGGTCCCACACACCTGAAGGTTGTGAGTCCCGTCCGGGTGACCCCTCACCTGCAAAGGAAGAATGACGATACCCGCTTGGCCCGGCGCAATCCCAAGGTCGGCCACCAGGTGGCGATGTGGGCTTGGCGGGTCAGAGACCTCAGGTGCCCCCAGGTCCTCTCGGAGGGACATTGCAATACTGAGACCAAAAGACCCTCCCACACCAGGTGCTGGCGGGCCGGAGGGACAACGCTGGACAGACGTTGGCTGATGCCGTTGGAGCAGACAGACAGAAGTCGATGTTTTGTGATCGATATAGAGTCTTCGCTTCTAAAACCCGACTTGTCCACAGAGGGGTCCCAGAGGCCAGCGCTGGCGGCCGCTCTGTCTTTGGATCTGTCCCTGTTTATCAGTCTATGTTGTTGAAGCAAAAGGAACCCTTCTGCACTGTGGCCCGTGAGTAACACAGGGCTCCATAGGGACGTGTGTAAAGTGTGCGGGACTCAGAATTTAATAATGTCACGTATGTTAATAGACTGTTTACATTTGTTCCATTTGTTCTTTACAAACCGAAGCATCTTCTTACACGTCTGCATAATAAGGCAAAAACCAGGTGTGTACGTTAATTATTTTAATATAACATCTGTAACTTCGGTTCCAAGTACCAAGGGGGGCCAGGGCGGAGCCTGAGAGGGGGCCTCACAGTGTGTTGGACAAAATGACCGTGTTTTTCTCCATAAATAAGACGAAAAAAACAAAAAAAACACCAAAACCCACGAACGCTGGGGCTCTGGAAGAGGATCTGAGGCCGTTAAACCGCAAATCGGAACTAAAAGTTAAAAAGCAAAACTTTTTTTCCTTTTAAATGTCTAAAGAGCACAAAATTGAAAAAAATACAAATCTATTATAAACGCTTCTCACCTGTGGGGAAAAAATGTACAAACTTGAATTTTCTTCCAAGAGCCTGATCTGGGCTCAGAAAACAGGAGATCGCCCCGGAAGGCGCAGTGGGATCCCCGAACCCCAGGCGGCGGGGGCAGGGGCACCGCCGGGCCGAGGGCCTGTGCTTAGTTCCAGGACCTGCAGGTGGAGGGA